AACCGAGACTAACTTTTCGTTTTTCCCAGAATCGTTCAAAAGTTAAAATTTCGATTCCTAGTTTCGATATTCACAGTCCGCCGAGCGGAAGAAGAAACCGCTGAACAACACCAACGAAGAAGCGTCTACCGGAAGTGTTAGCATAATCGCGTGAGTCGAACATGAGTAGCTTACGTCGGCAATCCAAAGTGTGGCTTCACTTTTCTAAAAATAACTAAATCTCGGCAAAATGCAAAATTTGTGACAAAAGGAGTATTTTTACAGAAGGAGTATTTCCTTCAGAAAGGATTATTTCCTTCAGAAAGGCCGTTGGTTAGCAAGGTTAGCTAAACTTTTTTGACCCTGCCTCTTAAAAGAATCGGAATCGAGAATCGTTAGGAACCGGAATTGAAACAAGGAATCGGAATCGGAATCAGAATTGTTCAAATTCAAACGATACCCAACCCTAATACTCGATTCTGATTGTCCATTAATAAGTGATAGAGGACACCTAGTTCTGGTGAAACTGACTGTTTAGCATTTGAAATTAATGAATAAATGCGATGGCGACATCAGCTGTGAGTAACCATAGCAACTGAAAGGGTCTACGAGCTGAGCGGACTATAAATATCCCCCGCTGCTAAATAAACCGCCAGGCGTACCCAGGGAAACCAAGTTATTGTTTGTAAAAACGTTAGATTTCGATTGTAAAACGAATTAAAATATAAACTAATGTTTTAAAAATGTGTTATTTGGCTTGTGACTATGGTATAAGCGGGTTAATGCCCTTCGAGTTGTCCATTGTTTAGATATTAATGCACGGTTCACTCCCCGCCGTCGTCCATTAATACCTGACTATGGACACATGAGAGGCGCGATGTGACCAAACACAATACAACCCATTATAATCAGTGATGCTTTCTACACTAGATGCAGCGCAACTCGCCATGTGAAATCCCAGACTGTAAATGCCTCACTCTATTTCTGGCAAGAATGACAAATGGATTTGGTGTGTTCATACGTGGCATGATTGATTAGATTAAAACGAACCATGGTGTTATTGTTCTGTTAGTGTGGTTCACTTGAATAAGTGTGAACGCTGCCATCTGAACCAAACAAGCGGACCGAGACGATGAAAAGATGGGTCCGTTACCAAAACAACTCTGCCGCGGTTCGAAAGCAATGTGAATGCAACACGGACCAAAGATGTAAACCAATCAACAGGACATGATGTCACAAGATGCGACACTAAAAAGGACAGAAAATAATAATTCATGTTTTGAAACGGAATGTTCTGAAACTATATCCTCTTATATGTGTAAATGTCAAGAGTATTTTGGTTTCCATTTCATGACCCCTTTTAAGCGTCAAATGAGAGTAAAGAGTAAAGAGTTTTATTCTGTGTACTTCATTAATAAATGGTCTTATAGGGCATGTCTCGACAGAGAGAGTAATATCTGTCTGCGCCAATAGACTCGTGCAGTTCCGCTTCAGGCGACCCGAGTTTGAGTCTCGGCTCGCGGACCTTCCCCTCTATACTATCCTATCATAATAAAGACAAAAATCTGCAAAAATATATCTTAAAAAAAACAGAAAGCGAAATATCTCTCATCAACACTGTCATTAACATGTAATGATGACTTTTCTTTGAGGAATAGCCCAATTTTCACAATCTTATCAAAATCTAGTAGTACATACAATCGAGTCAATATTTCCTGTTGAATTGTTCACTCAGTAAATATATCAGAATGACTGAAGAAATGCTGTTTTTTTGGCCTAGAAATATGTTTTTCCCCAGTCACTGCTAGCATTGGGTCTCATTCATGGAACATTCGTAAATATACGAGTAAATATGAGAGTGATTTGCGCGTAAAGAGACCCCGAAAACTCTTCTCGGTTCGACATTAAGCTTGACAGCAAAAATCGATTTTTTTGCTGTCAAGTTGATCACCAGATCTGCTATTACTTAAGGAAGCTTGTTTTCGCCATAGAATAAAAAATTAAAAAGGTAATTGCGACTTTTATCTCACAATTCTGACTTTTTTTCTCTCACAATTGCGTGATATAAAGTCAGAATTGTGAGATTTAAACTATTCTGAGGGGAAAAAAGTTAGTATTTTTTTTTCTCCCTTAGATTTAGCCTGATAACTCGCAATTGCGAGTTTATATCTCACAATTCTGAGAAAAGATGTCAGAATTTCGACCTATAAACTCGCAATTGCGTGTTATAAAGTCAGAATTGCGAGATGTAAACTCGCAATTGTAAGAAAAAAAAGTCCGAATTGTGAGATAAAAAGTCACTTCTGTCTTTTTTTCTCAGAATTGCGACTTTATATCACGCAATTCTGACTTTCTATCTCGCAATTCTGACTTTATAACACGCAATTGTGTGATAAAAAAGTCGCAATTATTATTTTATTTTATTTTTATTCAGTGGCGGAAACAAGCTTCCATAAATTACTGCCTCTCATAATAGAAGTAAAAAGAAAAACCTTTATATTACTATATAAAATATTTTTTCAAAATGCTTTTTAAATATGTACCCGATTAAGGTAAATTAAAATGCAGCCTTATTAATGAGCAAAACGTTCGGATGTTAAGCCACGCGTGTCTGGGAGCAGGTGTAGATTTCTTGCGTACCAACTAACATTTGGAAAATACGAGCGTTTTAATGTATCCAAAAATTTACGCCAGAACCACTTTACACACGATTTACACACTAATTCGTTCTGCTCGTGTTTCATGAATGAGACCCATTGAGCAAAGTTAGCCGTTCTCTGTAATGCCGTTCCTATGTGCTCAAGTTCCAGCAGTCGGTCAGTGTGTCAGACGGCTCTTGACTCTCTGAACGAGGTCTCCGACAGCTCCATCAAGGGCTGTGCCTCTGATTTCTTCTCTTTTTATCCACTCTCGCTTTCACAATAACGCTACAGCTCGTTGGTAAGTGGTCTCGATGAGGTTTTTCATCTTCCTGAAATGAGAAATGGCAGCGGTACCTCGTCCCCATGGCTAACTGACCTTTGATTTGCACTAATTCTGGTCATTAAATCAAACCGCTGACCTTTATGGAATGCCGAGCTTTGATGTTGAACTCTTGTGGCTCAGAGATCAGAGGCTGTGGTGTCTGTTTCCCTCTTCCCTCCACTGGTCCTGCTTGCCTTGTTTCCCTTTCTCTCTTCTGTCTTTAGTTTCTCACTTTGCATTTGTTTCTGTTTTGCAGTCTAAATCGTTGTGTCACCAAAGCATGTTTTCATGCAACTGCCGTATCTTTTCAATTGTTTTCAATGGGATCGGTGTGTTTCTAAAACGTTATGAGCGTAACGAGGCGCCGAGCGTCATTATTTCCAGTTGCCGAGAGTGGAAGAATGTTGAACTTTGGGTCAAACTTTTTACTCAGACTTCCAATCACAGTGAAGTAGAGGTGGGAAAAATACCACCGACCAGCCGTCACTTTCTGCTTGTTCAACGTCAACAGATGGCAACAACAAGCATACTAAAGCCAAGTTCACACTACATGGTTTTAAAACGCCGGGCTGAACTGTGCGGTTCACACTACATGATTTGCTCTCTGTGAAATCAGGAGTGTAGAAGTTGTTGAGCTGTTCACACCACACGACACAATAGGATTGATCCGCAACAGGAGGGAACGCACTACACAAGTTGACAACAACTATGTCACCCAACGATTTTATCTTGTCTACAAACCACGTTTTGTCACAAAAAAATCACGCGATGAAACGAACCGGAAATGACGCGAAGAAGCACACGCGCCAATACCCAGTGAAGAAGACGAAGAACACAACACGCGAATATGGACGTCAGACAGAAACTAGTACTGCAAACAGTTTGTGCGATGATTTGCACTGAGAAAAAATAAGATTTACCCAGTGACCTCAACCCATGCCTTGCTCTGATTGGCTGTAGCTCATGACATCACTGAGGTTGAGTCGTGCGACAGCTCTGGATATCTAGCATGCTAGATATTTTTCTGGGCTCGCGACGCGTTTGCGAGCGTCTTTGATGCGTTGTTGGCTCTTTCATACTAACAGATTGGCGAGCGTTCACCTCCCACTAATCCTCTGCGGACTACTCAACGATTTGCAAATCGGGCTTAAATCGGGCTAAAAAATGAGATGCTAGTAACACTTCCGCGGATATTACTTATCGTAGCAAGCCAAGCGTCTCAACTAGGGTTGGGTATCGTTTGAATTTGAACGATTCTGATTCCGATTCCTTGTTTCGATTCCGGTTCCCAACGATTCTCGATTCCGATTCTTTTAAGAGGCAGGGTCAAAAAAGTTTAGCTAACCTTGCTAACCAACGGTCTTTCTGAAGGAAATACTCCTTCTGTCACAAATAGTCCTTTTGTCACAAATTTTGCATTTTGCCGAGATTTCGTTATTTTTAGAAAAGTGAAGCCACACTTTGGACCGCCGACGTAAGGTACTCATGTTCGACTCGCGCGGTTATGCCAACACTTCTGGTAGACGCTTCTTCGTTGGTGTTGTTCAGCGGTTTCTTCTTCCGCTCGGCGGACTGTGAATATCGAAACTAGGAATCGAAATTTTAACTTTTGAACGATTCCGGGAAAAAAAGAAAAGTTGGTCCCGGTTCCAGTCGATACTCGATTCTCGATACCCAACCCTAGGGTTTGGCAAAAATTGTTTCTGTTTTGCAGTCGACAAACTTCGACGATTAACTTCTCCGCAATGTCGTCGTCTATTTTAAATGCGCGAGCCCTTAAATTACAATGGGTTCTGATTGGCTGTCAGGGTTTTATCGTTCAACAGCTGGAAAAAAATCGTTCTGAATGTGATCCCAACTATATTGTCTCTCATATGGTTATCGTTACAGCTGTGGTGTGAACTCTACTATTCTTTAATATTGAGAGCGATTTTTATCGTTATCGTCCTTGGTGTGATCTTGCCGTAAGTGTTGTATTCACAGAATCAGTTTTCCATAAACACACCGTATATGGGTTCACCTTAACTCATGGCGTTTTTTGTGTTTCTCCTCACCAGACCATCTCGGATCTGGAGTCCCAGGTGCGTTCCCTGAGGAAGGAGCTTCTGGCGGCCCACAGTCAGAGGACACAGCAGCTGACAGAGTTGGGTTTACTGCGGGAGGAGGAGCGACAGCGGGCCGCTCACGACCAGCAAGCCGCTCTGGACCGCATGCGGGCCGAGATGGATCACGTGCGGCAGGACCTGGAAAAATCCCACAAGACTGAAAGAGAGCTGGCACAAGAGAAGGTTGGTGTGGACTTCACACTGAACGGGAATTATCATACACCCGGTGTGTTTTGTTAGTTTCAGTCCCTCGCAACTGCGAGTCATACTTGACGGCACCATGAGCGCTGTTGATACGCAGAATTCACAAATTCTAGCCATTTCATTCTTAATTATTGCTCTGTGTGTCAATGCTCGCTTGGGCCAGAAGGTGTTTATAGCTGAGGGGGCGGAGCTTCAGATTTTAGAGAGCGTTTGATTGGACAGAAGATGTGATGAGAAGCCAAAGTCCATTTTAGCGGAAGTTTTTAATGCTCGTATCTGCTAAATGCGAATTTTGTCATTGTTTTGGAGCGCATTCATAACCTTAAGGCTAACGTATTCATACTAAAAGCTAAAAAACTTACATTTTGATTTCAGGCGGCCTTTAATTCTTAAGTTCTGTATACATAAGAATCTGAAGAATCAGCACTGCCATCTGCAACAATAGAGAAGATACCTCTGAAGTAATTGCTTTTACATCATTGCATTATAAACTGACTGCCTTCATTGATCCTAATCTTTACAACAATTGTTATGAGTCATTTAGAAGAAAACAGAATTTGGAGTTTACTACAAAAAAAAGGATTTATTTCTGGGATTACCAACTCGTTTCTTTGATCGTTTTCTGATGTTTATGACAATCAGAGGATCTTGACTGTACTGTAATTCACTGAGAAATATATGACAAATTTAGACTTTTTTTCTGTTTCAGATCTCATTAAATTCAAGTATGGTGTGCCAGGATTGATGGCAGTGTTGAGTTAATTGAGATCACCCCAAACTTTACGATGAACTACTTATTTCCCCAATAGCCAATCAAAAAAAAACTATTTTATATGGCAGTCAGGTCTATCTTCAGATAATTTGAAGATGATATTTGGTTTAGGTTTATATCCATAAACGTCTTTCTACTGTTGGAGTAAACATCTGTTTACATGCTCATGGTCTTCATCCAAGATACTAGTGCATCTGTTGAATTCATCTTATGTGTGTATTATTTGCTTTTATTTAAAAAACAGAAGCAAGCTTAATGGACTCTGGTGTGAATCTATGGTTTCAGGATCTCTGTGCTCTGATCAGTTAATGAATAATATGACATGCAGCCAAACTGAACTTTGTTTTAAGAAAACACACACACAGACAGACACAAACTTTATGCACCCGTTTGCATCTCTAAAGCCTCCGTTTATGCCAACTTTTGACTAGATTTCCCCTTTCTATAATTTCACTATTTTCTCAACTTCTACTATTATATTTAGTGCTATATAACACCATGAAACATCATGATATAAAAGTTTTGCTTTTGTGATGATAAACTAGGATATAGAGTGCCGAAGTTATGACGTCACTTTGTAGATACCTTGGAAGATAGCGGCGAATGGGTTCCCTCGATCAAAAAGCTATGTATTTTCCCCATAGACTTTTGGAAAATCGCTAAAAATAAGATCTGTGTTCAACAAAGAGTTGTGACCCTTACACTTTTTGTCTATCAAGATAATCTTTAATCAAGTTAATAAAAAATGTATACATTTTGAAGCCTATATAAAGTTTTTAAAAAACACAAGCAGACACGATAAAGTTAAAAAAACCACAAGCAGGTTATAACTGTGTGTTCTGTGTCATTGATCAAAACGTGAAAATATTCAGAGGCTTTTGTTCACCACAGACCTTATTTCAGGCGAATTAGCAAAAACCCATTCAAAAATCCCATAGGCTTTAGAGCGAGGGAACCGGGAGTGCTAAAATGCTAACTCACCTCCGCGTTTTGGTCTACAAAGTTCGGCGCTCTATATTGCATTTGAAGTAATTTATTTAAAAATAATCCGTTACATCAGTGAGCGAGCCATACATGAATGAAACATATTTGTAAGAGTATACGAGAACCTGCTTGTGAATAGCGGTGGCCAGGGTTAAGTAACCGTCAATTTATGATGGTTGAGAGGATGATTTTGAGCAAATGTCTCCTAAAGACTCTGTAAGTAGCACACGGACTACTTTTATTAGGTGTTTATGCCACTGGTTGTTGTGATCCTCCAATCTGACTGATATTATGTCTATGCAAGTTGCTCAATATTCACTCTGCACACTTTCCACAATCAATTTCCACAATACACAAATTTTTAAATGATTCCACACTTTCTTTGGCAGAAAAAGAGAAAAGAAATAAATCACAGCCACTCCTTGAGCATGCAGCAAAAGCCACGTTTCCACCGAAATTACCCAGAACTATTTGTCCCAGAATCTGTCGGAGGAACATCACAATATAGAGTTAGCAGATATTAAAGGAGAACTCCGGCTCAAAATGAACCTTTGGTCTAATTACACATTGGTACATAGTCAACCGTTCTCTGAGATTTGTTTTCATGCTTATCGAATGTAAAGAGTTTTATCTCTAAAAACTGCTTAGCTTATAACACTACTATATGGGCATAGAGTAATGAAAATAAAAATCGTTAGTTAATACCACTAACAAGGCTCAAAATAGCCCAACACTAACATGGTAGCATAATCAGGGTCCCTACATGCAAACCGAAGCATTGAGAATGTTGTAAGTGTACAGACCGTTTAGTAAGAAGATATTTTATAAAGACAGTCCACTTCACAAATACAGGCGGCGCCATCTTTGGAAAACAGTTTTTAGGGATAAAACTCTTTACATTCGATAAGCATGAAAACAAATCTCAGAGAACGGTTGACTATGTACCGATGTGTAATTAGACCAAAGGTTCATTTTGCGCCGGAGTTGTCCTTTAAGCAGAGAGTCTACTAATACTCTAATGAGAGTTAGTGCCCTTTCACACCTACCTGGTTTGGTCCGGATTTTCAGACTTTTCAGTTTGATCCGAATCAAATTTACAGGTGTGAACCCCCTCCCCAAACAGATGAAATTTGGTCCGATGAAAAGAGGTTGGGTTCGTTTCTAGTGTGAAAGCATTTATGGGTCGGACTTTCAGACCACCTACAGGAGGTTTCGGTGGATTGCTCGCAGTCTTATCCTCCATTAAAATGTTCGCACAACGAGGACGTTCATCTGGTGAATTTGAACTAGCCTTGAGTTGGTGCTGCAGGAAGTGATGGCGTAATGATAACAGTATAGTGGCAACGATATGCGTCCGTTCATTCAATTTTGTCAAAGTCACCCGCCGAATTAAAGACATGCTGACATCAGACGTACATCCATTTACAAACCAATCAGTGTCAAGATGCAGCCCACATAGATGATGACGACAGGACGCACGTATGTCATGTAAAGTTCTTTAGTGCGCTCGCAAAACTGCAACGTGAAACCAAACCAAAACTTAGCGGATATATAAAATGTATCAAAATATCACCTTTGGTTCGGACAAACGCCTTGAAAACGCCCCCAAGTTGACATGTAGATGCAAAGTTGCTATTGGTCAACAGAATGTGCAAAAGGGTATAAAGTGTTAAGGCCATTGCACACTGGATGCTTTTTTTCGTTTTTCGTATTTCGAACCGGTGGCTCTGAATTGTCCAAACACCATTCAAAATGCTTGCTACGGATGCGAAAAACGCAGAAAATCGAACCCGATTCGATTTTTTTTTATGACGGACGAAAGTTTCGGATTGACATAACGTGAGGTCGTGTTTATTTTTTAACGTGTGAAAATTCGAATTTCGCCCTTTACCGAGTCCCTAGTTCCAGGGGAAAGTTCCTGCGTTGGAAACTGGAATAAATAAACATAACTTATAAACAGATGAATGAATACACTCAACAAATCGTGTGTTACGTACTAGCGCATCCACACATGTTCACCGCTGGCCTGTGTTGGCTTGAAGAGATCACGTCAGCATTTAATTCTACACATTAGCCCCGGCTCTATCAAGGTTGAGCAAGCAGACTCTACCGGAAATCCTGCATCCTTACGGTTTTCAAAGCTCTTGATTCCAGCCGCAGAAACGAGGGCTTGGGAAGTGGCCGTAATCCAGCACAGGTTGGCCAGGAACCGGCTAAAGGTGGTATTGATCAGAGCGTAATCCTGATTAGGCCCATCAAAGCGATTAGTTTTCATTAAACACATGCACCACTGCTGACTGCACATCTGCGGCACATTAGCATGCCATTGGGCCTCTTCATAAATCCCCGGCCTCCATTTTGGAGCCATATGTGAGTACATTGCAGCACATAAATCCCATCTGAAGAGAATCCCGCCTGGCGTTTCCACTCTCAAGCTGACACGTAAGGCTTGTTTACAGAGCCAGTCTCGGTTTCTGCCCTCATCTGATACTCTGAAGAGACGGATTGACACTCTTCAAACTGGAGCTGCCAAAGTTAATGTGTTTTCATGTTTTAACACTGTTACACATTATGCCGTTAACAAGTCCATCATTCGACGACAAATTTACTTTTGTAATACGCATTCCAGGTTTTATTATGATTCATCAATGCATATCATTGACAATATAATATAAAAAAAAATAGCTTGTTTGGCCTCTCAAATTTCCAGTATAGCCAACTTTTAACGATAAAGGATAAAGTAAAAGTCAGTCAAGCCCTAAGTGTCACTTTACAAATATCCAAATCAAATCAAAATGTATTAATAAAGCACAATAAAAACAACAGTTGTTGACCACTGTGCTGTTCTGCTAAACTAAAATAAACACAAAAAGTAAAAAGTAAATATAAACAATGCAATGACAAAAAAATACGCCTTAAAAACTACGAATATTTTGTGAATGCCAAAATAAATGCACTGAAATAAAGTAAACTTTAAGCAATGTAAAATGACTCCAGCGAGATAAAAAAAACGTCTTAATACCCAGTGTTGTAGTCGAGACCACCTCACTCGAGTCCAAGTCGAGACCGAGACCAGAGAAAGTCGAGTCCGAGTCGAGACCGAGTCCATAGAGAGTCGAGTCCGAGACCAGAGACGGTCGAGTCCGAGTCGAGACCGAGACCAGTGAGGGTTGATTACCTAATTTACTTTTATTTACTTAGAGAAATCCTTTATTGATTTTTT